TGAGTCTGTTCCCTTCATGATTCCAGCCAGAACTGCCCCTTCCCCCCCCACTCACTGCCCTTGTTCCCTCCCCTCCCTTAACCGGTAGGACCGGTTTGGTCACTGTCCTGGGCCCTCCTGGCGCCCCCGCTGGCCAGTAGGGGTCACCCACAGCCCAAGCCCGGCACCGCACTGACACTGCGTCACAATGCTACGCGTGTTCCTGTGCGGGGGGGTGAGTCTGTCGTAAAGGAGGCTTGTTCCCTCGCCGACTATGCTAATCAGCACAGCCCCAGGGACACAGGCTGAGTGTGGCTGGGAACATGCACCCAGCCAGGGCAAAAGGGGGGCTGCCAGGAAACAGAGACAGGTCGCTGGGCCGTGGGACTGCTCCTCTTGGAAGGTACCAGGGATGGCTCAAGCGCCGTGAGGCAGATTCCATCTGCTCTCCGATCCCGCTCCTGAGCCCAGCTGCAGCCTTGCCAGGGGCGAGCCGGGGAGGGGGGCCGACCCCCTGGCATAGGGGGGCCTCCAGACACTCCTAAGATGGCTGTTTGGAACTTCCCTGCTGCGCGCCTGCGCCCAGAACCTGGTGCCTGGTGCGTGTGACGGGTTCTCCTCAGCCTCGCGCGCCGCCTTTTCCCTCTTAGTAAGAACCCTGCCCATGGCAGACTCACAGCATGAGCTCCAGGGTGAACTGACCGGGGACTGGGAGAACCATTGGGGGTGGGTGAGATGGGTCCTAGAACCCCTCCCCTGTGTTAGGCCGGGGGCTGATTGGGGCACAGGGAGAGCTGGGGTGTCCGAGGGGTTTTGCTCGTGAGGTTCCTGCTGGCCGGATCGGCAGCTGCAGCGCTCGGTGCGACCAGTTTGTGGCCTGTTTGGAAGGTCTCCAGTCCGGGGCTGTAAGCGGCCCTGGTTTTGAGCAATTTGCCCTGAGCGGACGCCCTCAGCCGTGCCCAGACCCGGCCCGGTCCGTCACACCAGGACTTCCTGGTGCAGCAACATTTGTGATCTGTCAGGGCCACAGATATTCCTAGACCACCCGCAGGCTGGGCATCCAGCAGTAGCGGGACTGGTGGCTGGAAGCCCTGCCAGGATGGTGGCAAGAGGGCTGACGCCGACTTCCCTTCATCCGGCAAACTCCCTCGTTCGGGACCAGTCAAGCCCTTAGGGTGCAGAGCCAAGGCGGCCCAGCTATTGCACAATTGTTTTTTCTAAGATCCAACCTCCCCCACTGCAACTTGAGCCGGTTGCTCCTCTTCTGCCACCTGCCACCCCTGAGAACAGCCTCTCTCCACCCTCTTTGGAAACCCCCTCTCAGGCTGTGGAAGGCAGCTCGTAAATCTCCCTTTCTTCTTCTCTAGTGCTGGCAGTTCATAGGCCCAGCACTTCTGGGCTTGTTGCATCAGTGTTAAAAAAAAAAAAGGCTTGATCTCTTTTATTCCAAAGGAAGCAGTGAAACTGGACTCCGTCCCTTCCACTCCCTGCTGCATCCGCTTTTCTGGTGTGTGGGGGCAGGAATCTGGCTGGAATCTGCCCCTTTCTGTCCCTTCCAGGTCTGCAGCTCCTGGAGATGGGGGAGGAGGAGGTGGACATCTGGACTTAGTTGCTTTAATCCATTAAGGCTTGCCCGGATCCAGCCCCACCTGAGGCTCAGGGCTCCCCCTCCCAGCATTGGGGAGCCTGTCCTGGCACTCCATCCCCACATCTATCCACCATGCAGCTGGAGCACACAAGATCTACTAGCCTGAGACCCTCTAGGCTTTGATGCGGGGCCACACCAGTGAGGGTTTGGGGATTTTTTGTTTTTTGGGGGGGGGGGAAGTTGTTTGTTGGTTTGGGTTTTTTTTTGCCTGTCACTTACGCGCAGCCCTGACAGATTCAGAGATGTCAGAGCAGGAAGAGACCGTGAGCAGAGGCGGAGGATAGGGGTAGGGAAGAGCCAGGTTGTGGGGGTGCAGTGGGGAGGAGAAAGTGGGTGCTGGATTGCCCTAGTGGCTCCCCTCAATGAGCCCCAGGTAGGACTCAGCCCCACGGAGGTGCACAGAAAGGTGGGAAGGGGGGGGGGCAGAGGGACCTGCTGCAAAGGCCGTGAAACTTTGCGGAGGTTTTCTCTGCGGCAAGG